ACACAAATTAATTAATAATGCAAGTGAATATTAGACACAAATTATTTATTATCTTTTTTTTTGGCCAGTCGATGGTACACTCTTCAACAAAGAGCAATTTTTACGATTCAATTCCAAGATAATTGAAAAAAAAAATAGGTTTTTTTAAAGTAGAAAAGTCACCCTTTCTGACGATGACAAAATATACCGGGTGTTTTATCAAGAATCAGTAAGTATGTAATTATTTCGAAAAATCGAATGTCTGTAAAACCAAATTTCAGGATTCGGCAATACTATGTAAAAAAAATTTGAAAAATCCTTATTCTCCCAGAACAAACCGCATCCCGTTACCTTTTCTCGTTTTCGAGATATTTACCTGGAAAATGTGTCACTTTATCTAAGGACACCCTGTATATGGTTTAACTATTTTTTATCAAGCCGTTTTGGAAATATCAGGCTTTAAACTAAGAAAAAAATACATTGAAACACCTTGGTAGGCGGTGCATTGTTATTAGGTCTGTTTTTGCAGAAATCACAAACCAGTCACTGCGAATTTCATTGGTTGAAAACAGTCAGAAAACTAGTTCCAACCAATGAAATTCACTCTTACTGGTTTGTGATTTCTTTATGAAAAGACCTATTGTTTGACATGACACAGGTCTTTCAATGTACTATTTTCTTGAAGTTTAGAGCCCGATATTTCCAAAACGGCTCAATTAGAAGTTGGTCGAATAACGAGATGCATTCTGAGTGATTGCATCTGTTGGGAACTTAAGAAAAAAAAAAATTATAATCACAACTACATGTAGGTATACATTTTATAACTGTGCCGAATTTGTTAAATTCGTTTATTTGTTTGTTTGTATTATAACGGGTCTTCAAAAAAAAAACAATCAAAGATTGCTTTGGTTACAAAAACGTACGTCGCATTATTGTTTCTTTATTGGTCAGGATTTTTGACATGAAATTTTGACATTAGAGTTCATTGACAAAATTACAGAGAAATATTGCTAAGACATACGTTTAAAAAACCATAGCAATCTTTGATTGTTTTTTTTTGAAGACCCGATATAAATAACTCTTAAACTTTTTTTAAAACTTTTTTGATTGTTTCAAAGTGATTAGGAATTTTGGTATTTTTGTTGTTGTTGAAATTTTGATGTAACATAGATCATAGATCTATAGATTTAAGTATTTTATTCTTTTAATATCATATTATTTAACGAGCGTATAATGTAGGCTATATTAGGGTTATAGAGCCATTAAACGCGAGTCAAATACTATGCTTTATCTACGACTATTCATTCTATTAAGAAACTATAGGTAATAATTTGCAGATTTGACGAAACTGAGGTGGTGGCATCCATTAGTCGCCAGTCTACAAAGATGTTGTATACAAGTTTGTAATTTTTCCTTGATTTCTCTATTTCTCTAGAAGTAATGCTAGAGATGCTACTTGTGCAACTAAGCATGAATTTCTGAAGGGGTGCATGGAATTTTTTTTTAACTGTCGGAATGCATGAGGAATACGCGTTAAACAAAATTTAAGCGCAACTCAAAACTGCAAAATTACTGCAAACGTCTATAGCCGCGCGGCAAAAAACCTTCATTTGCCGCGCGAGCCACTTGAGACAGAAACTTTGTTAAGGCGCGGCTGCCGCCCGCGGCATGCGATCTAGATGTTTGTTTAGTTTTCGCGAAGCAACCATGGTAAAAGTACTGTAAAACGGGCTCACCAGCTATACCTACAGCGAGTCCCGGAAAAAAGGTCGAAAACATAAGGTCGAAATACAAAAACTCGAAAACATAAGGTCGAAAATACAAATGATCAAATGAGAAAAGGTCGAATAACAAAAGGTCGAAAATACAAAAGGTCGAAATACAGAAGGTCGAAAATACAGAACGTCGAAAATACAAGAGGTCGAAAATACAAGAGGTCGAAAATACAAAAGGTCGAAAAGACAAAAGATCGAAAATATATCGGAAAATATAAAAGCTCGAATAACAAAAGGTCGAATAACAAAAGATCGAAAATACAAAAGGTCGAAAATACAAAAGATCAAAAACACAAAATGTCGAAAATACAAAATGTCGAAAATATAAAATGTCGAAAATACAAAAAGTCGAAACACAAAATGTCGAAAATACAAAAGTTCGAAATACAAAATTACGAATTTTAAATGGTAGAAATTGAAAAAGTACGAAAATACAAGTTTTCAAGATTATAAAAAGTCGAAAATACAATCTTTTTTTTTCATTCTACTTTCTTTTTCACATACTAACACCTTGACTAACGCTAACTAACCAAAACTAAACCAAACTAACCAAAACTCTGTACACTTTTGTAATTAACCCAATCTTCGTTTCTGACCCATGCACTCCTATTTACTTCCGTAAATTTCTATAGTGAAACGTCAGGAACTCGGTCAGGAAGGACACTTTCAAAAATTAACATATTTTCGATAAAAATTAGTTGATATATCGTTTACAAAAATGTTTTTGTTTCAATTCAGATAAAAACTCCGACCCTCAAATTCGAAGGAGAAAATTACAGGTCCGAGCGAGATAAATTCGAATTTGGATATACAAGACTAGTAGAATGAGAAGGGCTGTTAAATAAAGTGAACTTTTCGACCTTTTGATTTCGACTTTTTGTTATTAGACCTTTTCTCATTTGATCTTTTATATTTTCGATCTTTTGTATTTTCTACCTTTTGTATTTTCGACATTTTGTTTTTCCGACCTTTCGTATTTGCGACTTTTTGTTTTTCGACCTTTTGTATTTTCGACTATTTGCTATTCGAGCTTTTGTAATTCGACCTATTGTATCTTTGACCTTCTGGTATTCGATCTTTTGTTATTCGACCTTTTTTATTTTCGACCTTTTTTTATTCGACCTTATATATTTTCGATCTTTATTTATTCGACCTTATATATTTCCGATCTTTATTTATTCGACATTTTGTATTTTAACCTTTTGTATTTTCGGCATTTTGCTATTCGATCTTTTGTGACAATTCGACATTTTGTAATTCGACCTTTTTTCCGTACCCCACCTACAGCAATGACAGGGATTGTCATATTTGACAAAAAATCGATTTTAGAGAAAAGACTGATTTACGCAAAATAGCGGAAAATGACAAGACCTGTTAGTCGGGTGTCCCACTTTTTGTGGTCATGAGTCATGACTGTACCTATATTCCACGGGTGTGGAATATGAGATTCATATTCCACAGGTGTGTAATATGAGTTAGATTATGGGGTTACTATCACAAGCAAAATGCGTCTATTATTAAATAGTCGTAGATAAACAAATTATGACACATAACTTTATTTTTTAAATGAAAACACCAATCTTTTTATTTCATTTTCAAATTTTACGTTTAATTCTGAACCAAGTTCGGAACCTATTTTATGTAGGTATCGGGTCTTCAAAAAAAAAACCAATCAAAGATTGCTATGGTTTTTTAAACGTATGTCTTAGCAATATTTTTCTTTAATTTTGAAAATGTCAGTCGATGGAATTTATTGTCAAAAATCCTGACCAATAAAAAAACAATAATGCGACGTACGTTTTCGTAACCAAAGCAATCTTTGATTCGTTTTTTTTTGAAGACCCAATATCATAAGTACCGTTCATTGTAAGTACCTATCTTCAACTGTTTCGGAAATATTGACAGTTGAAACTTGACTTTTTTTGCAACTTTGACAGGCTGTAAAACCTAGAAAATTAATTTTAGGGAAAACCGATCATACATTCTTCTCGTAATTTTCCATAAACCATCGTTTGACACCAACTTTGAATTTAATCCATGATTAAATTCAAAGTTGGTGTCAAATGATATCTCATGAAAAAGTAAAGATGCGAAAGTGAATGTAAAATCGGTTCTGCTCTAAAATTAATCGTGAGATGTCATAACCTTGGTCATAAATTGTTTTTGGGTCACCCTGTATGTATACATGATAATCATAGAATAAGGTTTATCATAAAAAAAAACGGCCACTAAAATCAAACATCTATGTGTCCGAGGTTTTTTTGAAAAAATTCAACCCTGTATATTTTATGGATTTTATTCCAAGCTTTAAGTGCTCACTGTATAAAAATTAATGTTTTTTTGTTTGTTTGTTTGTTGTTCATGGACTCAGAAACTGCTGAACTGATCTCCTTAAAATTTATAACACATAGTCTCTATATGAAAGGGAGTATTATAGGCTTCCTTTTAGCCCAGAAAAATAAACAATTCCTGTTTCCTGTGGGATAGATCTGAAGTGTAAAGCTTAGGTTAGTTAAAAACAATTGTTTTTGGGGAGGTGCAGCAACGCACGTAGGGTACAGCTCAGGGTTGGAAAAAACCTACGATTTAGGAAAAATTTTTTTAGGTTTTTTGAGGTTTTTGGGGTATTTTAGGTTTTTTAAGGTTGTTAAGGTTTTTTAAGGTTTTTTAGGTTTTTTTAGTACCTACTTACCTAACAGTTGTAACACATTATTGGTGATGTAGGTAGGTATGTTAAATTATTCACATAATGATAGCTAAACCAATGAATAAAACAAAGATATAGAATTTTGGAAAGAAGTAGTTAACAATATTAGGTAAATAGTGTGGTGATAAGTGTTTTTTTCCTTTTTTTTTTCAAAAAACCTAAAAAACCTAAAATGCCCATATTTAGAAAATAGGTTTTTTGGAAAAACCTAAAAAACCTAGGTTTCAAAAAACCTATACCTGCCCACCATGGTACAACTAGTAGACTATAGAATAGAGAGAGATGTTCAATCCACACTTATTAATTTTACATTAGGTCAAGCATCAGGTAAATCAAGAGTTGTTAACTAATTTTTAATCAGCTTGAACTATGGAATGGTCAAAATGTTCCAATACTTCCAATGCTTATTTGGCCTTGTTATATATAATTTTAGATTTACTTTATTCTATCCAAACCTATGCTTTTGCTGTATCAAATCGCCAAACCATTTAAATATTATACTCCTAATTTATTCATTATAATTAATATTAAATACATACCTAAACTGTTACTCCATACACCATAAAGTAGTTCGACAAAGGCAAAGGAAAAGTTCAACAACAAAAACAAGAACAAATTCCTAGAGTTCCTATCTGAGAAAATTATCCTTATGTATCCATTAATTTTTTCTTTTATCCTAGAACCGAATCCTCTCGGATAGTTATCCTTGTGTGACAAAGGCAACATATTAATAAATTAGCTAATCTGTACACTTTTTAATTCAACTAAACATATTTTTCTACACCCTGTTTCACTATTTTTGGGTAATTATAAACTTTGTACACAGTTTCTTTACTTTCTTTTCATAAATTATTAATTATAACTATTGCATTATAAACTTTTCTTAGAAAATATATTATACTTAAGTACTGAGGTTTCCCTGATGGAAATATTGAAGGGAAAAACTGGAAAACATAAAGAAAATTTTTAATTTTCTCTTGAAATCAGCCGAAACCGGCTGTCAGGGAAAATTGCCATGTTGTCATAAAATTATGAAATTGTTTTGATATTGACGTCAATTGACAGTTAACATGTGCTCAAATCGGAATACAGAGCTTTGTTCGCGGAACACATTCCGAACTAGAGTCGCTTTCCAGTGACACATTTCAAGCACTCTTGAGCTGCTCTAGAGCGCCCCAGGCTGTTTATAGGCGTTCCAGTGCATTAACTTGAGGGGTAAATGGCTAGTCGACAAGGAGAATACACACTCTGAGGAGTGCTTATTGGCCTCGTTTTTGGTAATCGTTGCCATATTGGTGTGAAACCATTTCCGACGTCATAAGTAAGTCGTCAGCTGTTTAAACAGCCTACGTCAAGACGAGAAATAACATGCTGCCTACGTCACAACTGGTATTTTGGCATGGGGGGATTTGTTACACTCAAGTCTTATGAGAATAGGCCATCGTAGTTATAATCCTTGGGTGGTGGAGGATTAGCTCCTCATTGGTTAGTTACAAACAATGACCTATAAGACACGGCAAATAAAAGTCTAGCAAAAGTTTCGTGAAAATATTAGTCATACGCAGGCGCAGTTACGTTTGGCCATCAATGATATGAAATCATAACCTCATACTTTGATAAACCAAGAAAAATAAAACTTCCGTTTTCTAATTGCTGTTGAATCTTTGTACCCTCCTGCAGTTTCATACAGTTGAATTTGTTTTTTCCTTCCATAAATAAAGTTTTTTTAAATTTTTTATTTGCCCAGCTGTTTTTGGGTGCATTACTTTTTTCACCGGTGAGCAGTCTATCCTTATCTATTACATAGGAAATTCAATGACGCATTCATAGGCTCCACGAAAAAGAAACTGCCTTTCAGTGTGCGCCGAAACTCACGCATATTTTCGGCCACGCCTACAAAAACTATAGAACATTTTGTAATGGCGATTTCCATTTGTCATCAGTGCCGCACTGAGTGTATCCGCATCTTTTTCTAAAAGCATGTAACATGTAAGGATAAGGATACATTTTTTTTGCCCTGATTCGACAAATGGAAAACGCTATAAAGTTCCCAACCAGCAATTTTAGTCGCCGCTACGTATTCTCGACGACAAAGAGAACTTTAAACTTTGACGCCCCACGGTGTTATTACCTTGCGTTCGGTATTTTGCTCAAAGTGTAGAGCGAGCTGAGCGGAGCCGTAATCACGTGACCAGCGAGCGAACGGAGCAGTTGAACGCTGTATAAAAGTACCGGAAATTTTAATAAACGAACGCGAATGAGGCTGCACCGAGTACACTTTTTAAATAAACGAACGGTAAAGTCAAGCTCGGAGAACTCAGACCAAAATAACGAACGCACGGTTAGTATCGGGAACCGTTTCTTCACCACGTTGTTACCAAAATGGGGACTGATTTTGCAGTAACGTTTAAGTGCCTGCATCGTCCTCGGAACTGTAAATTTACGTCCCGGGACCGTTTCAGGAACATTGCGAAACCGTAAATGTGTGGTGGTAATACGAACCAAAATGTACTTTTCCCCATGCGCCTTCAACCTTGAAGATATTTATTTGATCTTTCTCTCTCTTTCAACCAATGAACTATAACCAAAAACTGGAATGCGAACACATATTGACGAACGTGAAGCCTAGTGCCGCTGCTGCGGAGGGGATACCTGTTTTTGTCGCACTCATTACGTTAAATGGCGGAAATTGCTTCCAACACGTATTGTTTGCCCAGCGGATCTGATCTGAGTCTACGGAAGGAATTCGGACGTAAATGTGCCATGTTGCCACGTTTAATTATAAAAAAGCGAAAATAGTAGGCATAAAGTATAGTTAATTTGAAAATCCGTTTTTTGATAACAAAATATTGATAACAATAATAAAACGCTAGATATTTTAACGTGGTTGTTAGACCTATCCTTATTTTAATCCTGATTTCTTCAGTTTGGTCTATTGTAAAAAATAAACATTTTCTAAAGATACCATCAGCTTTTGACAATTTGGCAAGCATTATTATCTGAAGCATTTACAAAAGCATTAGTTCAATTATTGTTTACCTAATTAGCAATATGGAATGTAGGTATGCTAGTAATTTCGTTCTCGCCAGGGAATCAGTATGTAAAGTAAATACCCCGATAAGACGGTGAGAAAAAAATAAAATTGCAGTTTACCACCTAGCTATATTGCAGCCTCTGCAACTACTGTATGCTAGATCTGAAAATAACAACGCGCCGTCAAACTAAAGCATTTTGATGATACAAATATTTGAAATAGAAGAAATACTAAAATACAAAATTATTTATTCGAAGGAGTTATCACTTTTAATGGGTCCATTTTAATTAGAAATCATAAAAGTCCAAGGTTTTTATTACTAAACAGATAATATGATATGAGGCGTGAATTTTCAACTTTTACACAAAATTAAGTTTTTCCAAAAAATGGCGTCTTAAATTTTCTATAAAACATGGCGTATATCATTCAATGCTACGTTGAAGTAACCTCTAGATTCGTTAAAGTAGAATTTACCTATGCATAAGTGGCGCTCACGAATCGGTTACCTTACCAATGTTACTTGGAAGTGGCGAACTCTAAAGTGTTTTCTATTGTCCCTCTGCGGTTGTGGTTACCTTCAAAAACACTTATGGCCGTTTCCACCAACCATTTTTGGAGAGCCCTATAACGATAAGTATTCCCTAAAATGACATATTTACATGGAGAAATGTCAGTTTAAGGCATACCTATCGTTAGGGCTTCCCTAAAATAGTTGGTGAAAATGGTCATTAGTAGTCACGCCTACTCGAAAGTTGAATTTTTCACGTTACAGTGACAATTATTTGTTACTTTAAAGTTTTGGTATCGAATAAAGTAGCTAAACCTTGACGCCCTCCCCAAAGTTTCTAAAATACATCGAAAGTTGGGAAAACTTGGATGAAAAATTTAAAGTTGGGAAAAATTGGCAGACAAAAATTTGCGCACCTTATTTGCGAGGACTAATTTAAATTAACATTAGGATCATCGTGTCACGTGTCGTGATTCGTAATGAATTGCAAAATCACCGGACAACAGGATCTCTTGACGAAATCGTTCTTATTTTTTTCTCACTTTATTATTTGAAATGATATCGCAAAATAAACTCCACATTTTCAATTGTCACTTTTTCTCCACTACATGATGATGTTATTAGATTTTTGATTAGACGTTTCGTTTCTTCGCGAACATCATCAACTCTGTTATTTCGAATGGTCGAATTTTTTTTATTTTATGCCCAATAAACTCTGCTTTTTATTCTAAATCCAACGACATATCTAGCTCATAATTCCAGGAATAATAATTTCCACTAGTGGTCCCATGAATGGGCCTACGCGATCTCCGGTCATTACACAGATGGATTTTGTCTTTTGAGGATTCCTTAAGAATGAAGTTGACTTTTCAGAATCCATCGGTGTAATGCCTGGAGATCGCGGAGGCCCGTTAATGGGACCACTAGTGGAAATTAATAAATATTCCTGGAATTATGAGCTTGATATGAATGATATGTCATTGGATTTAGGATAAAAAGTAGAGTTTTAGCCATAAAATAAAAAACTCGACCATTTGAAAAAACAAAGTTGATGATGATCGCGGAGAAACGAAACGTCTGATCAAAAATCTAATAACATTATCATGCAGTGGAGAAAAAGTGGCAATGAGAATGTGAAGTGCAAGAAATAATCACTAAAATTGGGGATTGTTTGGAAGTCAGAGTTGATGATAACTTTAAAGCATTCCGTATTGGACCGAAAGGTAATACCAATGGTGCAATTAAAGTGATTTTCCAGGACGAAATTACAAAAAATGCATTCCTAAAAAGCAAAAATAAGTTTCAACTAAACAGCAATGGCCTGGGATTTAAAAACACCAATGTCAAAATATTCTTGAATCAAGATCTAACTAAGAGGAACCTGGAGCTACTAAGGGCAGCAAAGGTTTTCAAGGAGGAGAACAAATACAAATTTGTGTGGGTTAGTAACGGAAGCGTTCTACTACGAAAAGATGAAAATTCGAAGGTTTTGTTAGTGGATGATGAAAAAAAACTACAAATTTGAAAGCAAGCGGTAAGCGGTAAGCTCTTACTTAATTATATAAATGCTCAAAGTTTACGAAATAAAATAGACCTAGTGCAATGTCATGTTCTTAATCAAAACTCAGATATACTTTTAATTGCCGAATCTTGGCTTAATTTTCACGAAACTTTTCTGTATAAACTAAAAGGCTACACTGCTCTTCACTCGTGTAGAGATGGTATAGGGGGCGGGGTTTCTATTTATGTTAAAGATGAAATAAAGATTATTGAATTAGAAAAGTCAAAACAGAAGGAGCTAGTTAATTGGACCTGTATTAAAATACTACAACATAATCTTATATTAAGTTTAATTTACAGGCCTCCATCTTACAGCTATTTAGATTTTCTAAATCAACTAGAATATATTTTTCAAAAATATCCCAAAAATCATCTGATAATAGGAGATTTTAATATTAATCTGCTTGATTTAAATTCACTCGAGTCTACCAGATTTAAAAACTTAGTATTTGTAAATAATTTTCAAGTAAAAAACACAATTTCAAATAAATCCGCAACCAGAATAACAACAAATAGTAGAAGTGTTATTGACCTTGTTCTGATTGATAAAAATTGTAAATATAATTGTAAAGTTAATGTAGCGCCAATTTCTTTTTCTGACCATAATCAATTGCTTGTTAACATCCTCCATAATATAAAAATAGCGAAGCCAAAAATTAACTATGACGTTAAAGCTATTAATCACCTTAAATTTAAAAATTTATTTGAAAATAAGATCGGTGATAATAATACGATAACATCTTTCAGTGCATTAACAGACATAATCACTAGCTGTAAGAGTAGGTCGGAGTATGGTAAAAGTATTAGATGTAGGCAAAATTATTGGATGAATCAAGAAGTTCTAGATTTAATGAAGGATAGGGATAGGTTGTATAAAATTAAGATTAGGAGACCAAATGATGTACAAATTGC